CAATCCCACATGATAGTGCTGAGAATGCATCTCAATAAGGTACAGTTGTACGTTCACGCTATCGTATAAAAAATGCCTTGTTTAGCAGGAAATTGAACAACAATAGAACATCGGCATAGACGTCCCGTCCCTATTTGACAGCTGTCAATGTCATTCAGACGTATTGGAATAGCGCGCCATTCTGACGGAATCAGTAGCTCTGATAGTTTAAATTAATTACGCTAGTTACAATTACATTAATTGCTTATAATTACAAAGAATAAAATAAAAAACAGCGTAGGTTGTCTTCGCTGTAGTCTTTAATATATGAAATCAATTTTTAATTAACTTTTAAAAAGAGTAGGTTATTAAATTAATTTTTTTTTTCAGAGTGAGGATTACATAAATAAATGCTTGAACATTGTCCAAGGATGTGGCATACAATGTGAAGTAAGTAACTATTACATTTTTTTTTTAACAACAAGCATTTTTTTTCTAGCATTTTATTTACTAAAATATGAAGTAACTTAGTAAACCAAATAAATAAACCTACACTAACGGCTACCGTTAATATCCAAATAATGACTGTAACAGCCCAATTATGTAACTTCTAACTGCAAATTCCATAAAAATTATAAATTAAAACGAAGTGTTATTAAATTCAGTATTCGACGTTAATTGCAGCAGTATTACAATTTAAAAACAGAATATTAATTAATTCTTCAGACGATGCCGAAAGTAACCCGGTGGCGGCGCAAAGCGTTAGAAGAGATACACCGCGTACGCGACGACATTTACCACTCGCGGCGCTCCTACCGCGACCTGGTGCTGCACGGGCGACGCAAACATAATCACATACGACGGCACGCGACCGCTAGAGTTAACGCCGCGGTCACTGAACTAGCCGAATGTGCGAAGAATGGAGGCACACAGGACAAACATAATACAAACACTATGAATAATTTATCTAATCTTTAAGTTGTTATGATTTGGATGTTTTGATGACGAAGCGTATTTACTCTGGAACGTTAGAATAGATTTTCTATTCTGTGTTCTGTATTCTATGTAACGACAGGATGTTATTGTTTTAGTTCTGTTTCATAGTTTTAAATCCGCACTGTATTTATTTAATGTATTATATGTTGTAAAATAACTAACCTTTAATTCTGTTAACTAATTACTGCGTTGAAAGTTTAACTATCCATAGTACAAGTACAATAA